TATAAATAAAAGTTTTACAGACGTTTAAAAAAAAAAAGACTATGCCGAGTATTATTATTTTTTAAAATTACGAGATCATATAATAATGTAAAGAATCATGCTAACTCCTCACCTAAATGCACGTGAGCTAGGTGACTCACAATATCCACGTGGCATTGTATTAATGGATTGTCGTCTATCCAACGACACAGACCCGTTATCATATAACGTCACAAAATCTTCTTCTTTTTCTGGATCCAAATCTCTTCAATCTCAAACGCAAATAATAGTCCTCCCGACAATATTGTTCACACGATGAAAGCAATACTAAAGACAAGAGAAACTCATTGATGTGTTAATAATAATTGCGTAATTCTCATGATTTCTTAAAACATTTTTTTTTTCTTCCTCATCACTTTCGTGTCATCTTCTTATCCTTAAAAAAAAAGAAAAAAAAGTTGGAATATTGAAATATTCTTCTAACAGTTTTGATTTTAAATACAAAAAAAATTTGAACGATTCTTTTGTATAAAAATTTGATTTTTTTATGGCTTTGAGATTAGTAAAGCTCTCGCTTTTCAGTCCTTTCCACGGTAGCATTTGTCATCACTTAAATATTTATTCGTAATTATCCTTTCAATTTCTCTCTTTTTTTTAAAGAAAATAAAAATACAAAAAAGTTTTTTTTTTCTTGGTGCGTATTTGCGAATTGAGATTTTCTTGTTGCGTTGGATTAATTTTTGAATCAATTTCGCGAAAAGGATACAATTAAAATCTTAGGGGTTTGTAGATAAAGGGGGATCGGTGAGTCAAAGGAGGTGGAGATCAATGGCTCCGACGACGGCGAAGCTAGAGAACGACGAGGAGCTCCGGCGACTCAAGGACGTTAATATTGACGAAGCTCCTGCTCGTCGTCAAGTGCGCGATTCCTTTAAAGATATTCAGCTTAATCTCGATCATATCCTCTTCAAGGTATTACAAAAAAAAAAAACATTTCGAAATTGAGTCTAATTCGCCTGAATCCTTGAACAATCAAATTGGGTATTAGAAAGGTTGAGACTTTAGAGACCAATCTGCTTCAGCTTTATGTGTGGCAATTTGATTCAAAGTGTTGGTTTTTTTTTTCGTGATGTTGCAGACACCAGAAGATGGTATTAAGACAAAAGAGGTAACAACAAAGACAAGGATTTGGTTTATCTTTATTTCATGAACAAAGTTAGTTTGTGATGATTTATGTTTATGTAGTCATATGAAGTGAATTCAAGAGGAGTTGAGATCTTTTCCAAAAGTTGGCTTCCTGAAGCTTCTAAGCCCAGAGCTTTGGTTTGTTTCTGCCATGGTTATGGAGATACTTGCACGTTTTTCTTCGAAGGCATGTTTGAGTTTTTAAATGGTTTGTTTATGAAATTGGGGCTTGTTTGATTGCTTACTAGCTTGCATTTTTCTTTTGCAGGGATTGCAAGGAGACTGGCATTGTCGGGATATGGAGTTTTCGCTATGGATTATCCGGGATTTGGCTTATCGGAAGGCTTGCACGGTTATATCCCTAGCTTTGATCTTCTTGTTGAAGATGTCATTGAGCATTACTCCAACATTAAAGGTAAAAACCTTTGAATCATATCCGAGTTAATCGGCAGGGAGAGAAAAATCATACTGAAAGCTAAACACTATACATTTTAATTTTTTGGTTGCAGAGAATCCTGAGTTCAGTTCTCTACCGAGCTTTCTCTTTGGACAGTCGATGGGTGGGGCCGTATCCCTCAAAATACATTTCAAACAACCAAATGCATGGACCGGCGCAGTCTTGGTAGCACCAATGTGCAAAGTAAAGACTTTTCTTTTTTTTTCCTCATTAAGAAATCTCGCCGATTAGTAATTATAACATTAATGTTAACTATCTATCTCATCCAGATTGCAGATGATCTGGTTCCACCACCAGTAGTAAAACATATTTTGATCGGTCTAGCCAATGTTCTACCGAAGCACAAGTTGGTTCCTCAAAAGGATTTAGCAGAAGCAGCGTTTAGAGATCTCAGGAAGAGGAAGATGGTAAAAAACATCAATTATATAGATCGAGGAACTTACGCCTTTTTATTCTTTCTCAAATCGTTTTCTTTACTAAACCCGTCTTTTTGTTTTTACGTTTGCAGACACCATACAACATCATTTGTTACAGCGGCAAACCGAGGCTACGGACAGCAGTAGAAATGCTTCGAGCAACTCAGGATATTGAACAACAATTGCAAAAGGTTTAAAAAAACCGAAGCTACTAAAAAGCAAAATCATACGTACATATAACGTCTCTTGAATGTTTCCTGATCTTGTTTTTGTAGGTGTCTTTGCCGATACTGATTCTACACGGAGAAGCTGATACAATGACGGATCCTTCAGTGAGTAGAGAGCTCTACAAGAAAGCGAAAAGTTTAGACAAGAAGATAGTTTTGTATAAAGATGCTTATCATTCTCTGCTCGAAGGCGAAACAGACGAAATGATCATCCGTGTCTTGTCCGATATTATCTCGTGGCTTGACGACCATATTGCCTTGCAAGCTGATTGATGAGGGATCATTAGTTAAGAGTTAAGACTATGTAGATTATGAACATTTGCTTCGCTATATCCTAGTGAAGAGTATTTTTTTAAATGGATTAGCAATAAATGATCATTGTTTGCAATAAATTTTACAGGAGAGTTACTCTTTAGGGCAGCAAAGAATAGTTGAACTTTGCAAATAACCTGTAAAACCGAAATGAATAAATTTTTCTTTTGAGAATTTTCAAAGTCTGCAAATTCTCTGTCATTTTCTATCCTTGAATTTGATTTTGGGTTATTTTATAATTTAAAAAGAAACTAATGGTGACACAACAGTGAATAGAGTTTCTTTGTACTTCATAACTGTTAACTGTTGAATGTAGAACTCAATAACTTGTAGAATTAGCCGAAAAGTCGCAGAAACCTACAAGTTATGGTTTTTAAAAAGAGTTTTGTAAACCAATTATGTATTTTTTGAATTCTCATAATAACAATTTTTTAATTGTATATTTTAGTAATATAAAATAAAAAATGTACTTGAAAGCCAAAAGTTTTGTTTTTGTTTTTACAACATTTTAATATACTGTATGTATGTTTTAGTGTACTGTTTAGGTGCATTAATTATTTATCTAAACAAATATATTTATTTTTATCCCAAATTGTTTAGGTCTTTGGGAAAAAGAAACAAGTTTACTCATAAATAGGCCCATAGGCTTTATAAAATATTTTTTACGGCCCATATTTGATGAGATTCAAAATAGGGCAACCTTGAAACCCTAATCATCAAACATTAAAACCTCATTTTAACCAAACTGCTGCTTCTAAGGAGAAGCCGCAACCTTTTTTCTTCAATCTAGGGTTCTTCTTCGTTCCTGCAGATTTCGCCTCCGTTTTCACTTTCCGGTACGGTCGCATATGGTGTCTCTTTCGCTTCTTCGATTGGTCCGTCTTTGTCTGAAAATTTTGTCAAATGGGTTTTGTTCTGTTTTCTGTTAAGGGCAATGCAGATGTTTTTCTCTTAAATCAATAGCTCATTAGAGTGTAGAATTGTGGAATGTTTCAGCTTTTGTGATTGGTCTGATTCGTGGGGGTTTTAGTCTTTAAGAGATGGATACTGTGGTTTAGTTTAAGCCAATGTAGCAGCAGTGTAAGAACATAAAAACTTGCTACAGAGTTTTTGTTAGTACACATCAATTAGGTAACTAGGCTCTTGTTCTTGATCCGTAAAGCCTTCGAATTTGGTTGGGAAATGTGTTGTAAACTCTAACTTGTGTGAGTTGATCAGTATCATAAAGCTTGAAATTCATGGTTCCGATGATAGTAAGTTCGTGTACCTAAAGTTTTCGCCTTTTTTTGGTTTTTGTTTCTTAAAATTCAAGATCTGTGAAGATGTTCTCCGCTCAGAACAAGATCAAGAAGGACAAGAATGCCGAGCCAACAGAATGTGAGGAGCAAGTTGCTCAGGTAAACAATAATTCCTTTTTATGTCTGTCTGTAAAGTGGTCTTCTTGTTGATTATTTCATCGATAACATTTGGTTAAATTCTTTCTCAGGCTTTGTTTGACTTGGAGAACACTAACCAGGAATTGAAAAGCGAGTTGAAAGATCTCTACATTAACCAAGCTGTGTATGTTTTATTTATACTGTTCCTTCCCCTTATCATTCAACGCTTGCATTTGCCCTTATCAAAGAAAAGTAATTTGATTTTATTCATTGCAGTCACATGGACATTTCTGGAAACCGCAAAGCTGTTGTGATTTATGTTCCATTCAGACTGAGGAAAGCTTTCCGTAAGATTCACCCCCGTCTTGTTAGAGAGCTTGAGAAGAAGTTCAGTGGCAAGGTAATTTTGATAAAACATTTCTCTTTGGTTTAAAGACTTAGAGTGTATTTACATTGTCTCTTAGTACTCGGCTGTATCTTATTGTACAGGATGTTGTCTTTGTTGCCACAAGAAGGATCATGCGTCCTCCCAAGAAGGGTGCTGCTGTTCAAAGGCCACGTAACAGAACTCTAACCTCTGTTCACGAAGCAATGCTCGAGGATGTTGCTTATCCTGCTGAGATTGTTGGAAAGCGTACTCGTTACCGTCTTGATGGTTCCAAGATCATGAAGGTATAATATCATCTTTGAGAATATACTCATATCTTTCCTGATTGCTGTTGTGCCCAGCTTTACACTCTGGATTGACTATTGTCACAGGTCTATTTGGATACCAAGGAAAGGAACAACACTGAGTACAAGCTTGAAACTATGGTGGGTGTATACCGTAAACTTACTGGAAAAGATGTCGTTTTCGAGTACCCAATCGAGGCTTGAATGAAAGATTATGCGATAGAGAGACAGAGAGAGCTTTTGATTCTGTTTTGTGGTATTTAGGATGAAGGAAACTCTCTTGGTTCAGTTCCTAATCACAATCTTTAATGTTCTATTTACAAAGACTTCTACTTTCTGTGGTGTTCAATTTTGAAACATTTTTAAAAATTTCAGATTCTTGCTCAAATTTTCTAGAGTAACACATTGAGAAGATAATCTGTGAATTATATTTTCAACCTGAACATATGAAAGATACTTTTTATTTTTGGTCTGTGCAACATATACAGTCGCAAACAAATCAATAAATAAGAGGTTGGAATTTAGTAACAGTGATGTATCCAATACCCCAAGAGTAAATTTCCTTCTTTTTATTATTTCACTTCTAATTCCTGATCAAAATTTCAAGAAAAGTTAATTTATACTCCAAATGTAGTTATTATTCATTTGGTAGAGCTGGTAACTGGTTAGGGACTTAGGGTTTTAAGATAGTAAAATCATTGAGACAAGAAAGGTCCCTACTTGTTTATTGGTTTACAATAGAATGAAAATGCTAGACCAAGCTTCTCTACAAGTTTGTTTTTGTTGCTTCTTTGAATTCAAAGCAAAAATCCCTCACCGGTTAGTTCTTCATTTGTACTCTGTGCAGTTTATACTTCTGCACAAGATTAAATCTTGAGATCTCTTGATTGAATCCATGGAGCACAAGAGTCTTCACTGCTTCACTTCCTTGCTCGAGTGCTTCATCGATCTGTTTCCGTTCCAATGAACTAAACTTCTGAAGAAGAAAAGCTCTCATATCCATGTTCCCGGGTGGATTACCAATGCCTGACAAAAACAAATCAACAAATCAAAAATCTTGACTGAGAAACAAAGGATAGTCTCAGGTTTAAACAGAACCAAATTGAAACTGAAACCAAAACCGTACCTATGCTTAGACGAGGAAAGTTTCTACGACCATCCAAATTTCCCATTACACTCTTCACTCTGCAGCATATACAAAAACAACATCAGTTCATGGATCAGAGAACACACTTAGATGTTCAAGAGGCAAGTACATACCCATTGTGATAACCTTGACCTCCTTTCGGTTGAAGTCTCAAAACCCCATTTGGTAAAGCCATCTCATCATAAATCTACGAGGGGGAAACCAGCATCAAGATTCAACAAAAGCGTTCATTTGAAACATTGTTCTGGTTTCTAGAGATGCAAAAGTCAGTAACTTTTACCAGTAATATGTGACGCAATGGTACTCGATAATGTGCAGCTAAAGATCCAACCTATAAACGAAGACAGAACAGTCAGGGTGTGAGGATTTGATAATGCAGTTGGTCTTTGCAAAGTTATGATATAATAGTTTGATGATCAGAATATACAAACCGCTTCGCCGCTGAAGTTCATATAAGTCTGAGGTTTAGCCAACAAGATAGGTACTTCTTCGATAGCACCTGTACTGATCATACATAGAACCAAAAAGTCATCAGCTTTATTTTGTTTCAAACCGAAGAACCGAAAGGTGAGAGAAGAAATAACCGAAAGCAAGTGAAGTAAAACCTATTCCGATTAGAGCTTTCGACTGTATTGTGTTCATCAAAACACCTTCTTTTCTAGCCAACACATCAATCATCTCAAAACCAACCTGAAAACAACAGACTTGTAGAGTTACAGAGATCAAAACCCAACATCTCAAACTCAATCTAACTTATTGAAAAAAATGATATGTTTTTCATTACATTGTGTCTTGTTCCATGATACTTGTTTCCTGGATTACCCAAGCCTACGATAAGCCAAGGAGTATACTCTACTTTGAATCTGTCATTCTCACTAGAAGTAGACGAAGAAACCCGAAACCTTGGTCTCCAGAAAACGGGCTTTTCCGGGTGAAAATGGTAAATACTTGGTGTATATGTCGAGCAGAACATCGAACTGTTGATTCAAAGGATCAATTATCATTCCTAGTTAATCTATGACACCAAAATCAAGAACATATATATATATCTGAAATTTAACCTTTTTTGTGAACGAAAATCATACATTTTTTAATATAGCATCGAACACATTACGAAAGCATGTTTTCACCATTATAATGAAGAATCGAAATAAGACAATCACTGAGAATCAAAGCTGAATGAAACCCATTTACAGAGACACAACGCAGAACAGAGAAAGTAACTGTAATCGAGCAGAAGAGACACCAGATTTTCTGTAGGATTAGTAATTAACTACAATTGGATTACAAAGATCTGTGCTTATCATGCTTCAGGTTATTGCAATAGTTTCTCAATATAAGAATGATAAATTAGAATGAAATCACTGACCTCTTTTTCTGGAGATTTCGAATCCTTCAGGCTGACAAAAGAAAACACTTGAGAGATTTTTGTTGCTAATGAGATAGAACGATGAACTGGGTGACTAGAGAGAGACAAAAGATCTTAGAGATTTGGGGTTTGGTCTCATTTTGTGTTAATGGGCCAGGATATAGAAGCCCATGTTATTCTGATGAATAGATTTCATTTTATATTGCACGTGAATAGTCTTTTATTGCACGTGTCGACCACGTCATGCAAAATCTAATCCAGAAAATCTCCACCGTTGCCAAATCACCTCATGCGGCTCCTACCTACCTCTTTTACTTTCTTTTTTTTATTCTCCCTCAATTTTAGCATTTTTACATATTTAACCTAGCTTGCTTATTTGACGATTAGTAGTATACGATGATGATTAACGAATATAAATAGAAATTTTGAATAATAATTTAATCATATGAATCGGTAGCTCACAATTCATAATTTTAATATTTTACGCTTTTACAAGTTTTATAATAGAATTGTAACACAATATCTTCGGAAAAAACGAAAAAAAATCTCAACATTTGTTTCCTCAGAAATTCTGGCA